GCAGAGACCCACGTGCTCAGCTCCTCCTAGGTCTGATGCCCTAACCTCTCAGTATGTGATGTGATGAGGGAGGGGCTGCAGAGGAGTCACCTAGGACTTTGAAAAATGCAGTGGCAATTGGGGAAGAAGTGGATGACTATTAAAAATAGAGGAATGTGCTCAGGTAGATCAGTGGTTTAGAGAGGACAGTGGTAGGAGAGCTTTGAACATGTTAGAAGAAACACAGCCATAGGAGGGAGAGGAGTCCAGCCTGGCGTAGGACAGTGGGTGGGGGTGGAAAAGACATGGAAGACTCAGGAACTCATTACAGCACTTTGCAGGTGGAATCCACATTATTTAGAGACTAGATCTAGGGGACCAACCAGAGAGAAAGAGAATCGTGGGAAAATCAAAGAGCTTTGGGAACCAGCATCCATTAATAGAAGTAGTTGGTGAAGCAGAACCCTAATTATGACAGAGGGAAACTCAGGCTGAAGAGCTGAAACCAGGACCTATCTTATGAACCTTCAGGACACAAAGGGCGTGGGGGCCTGTTGGGAAAACAATGGGTAGCCAGTGACTGTCCTGACTTGTAAACTAACCTTGCTACACTGCTGGGGCAGTGAAAGTACAGAGCCACGTGCCGATGGGACTGGGGTGGAGCTGGATCGCACATGCTTTGCTGGAGGCAGCATAATTCAGAAAAAAAATATTTTTGAGAAGCAATTTGCATACCATCGAGTGATAAAAATGTTCAAACCATTTGACCTAGTAATTCTACATGTGGGAATTTACCCTAAGGAAATAGTTTAAAAGAATGAAAAGCCTATGTTCATACATCCAAATGTCAAATAATTAATTAAGCAATTAATTAGAAATAATATATTACACTACACACAACCCATGGACTCTGCTAGGTGAATGAATATGATCTCCGTGGCCATGTTAATAATAATAAAACATAGTAAACAACAATGGAGCAATGGTTTAATACACTGTGAGACATCCATATGATAGAATGTTATGCTTTAATACTATATGACACAAGCAGAATTCTAAATGGCCTGCTTGCTGCTGTGGTTAAGAGCACATTCTGTTGTGTTTACTGCCCGGGCTTGAATTCTGACTGTACCATGTCCTGGCACCTGACCTCGGCAAGTTCATCGGTGCCTCTAAGGCTCAATGTCTTTAACAGTAAGGTGGTATAACAATACTACCACTTCATGGGGTTGCTGTCAAGATTAAATGAGAAAAGGTATGCAAAGTGCTTAGCATAATTCCTAGCACATAATTTCTCAGTAAAAGTGAGTTGTTATTTTAAATATTTAAAAATGTGTGTCAATAGAAAAAGACTGACAGAGACTGCCCTAATTTCTAACCCCAAATTTATAGCCCTAGGAAATACAATGGGTGATTTGTTTCCTCTATTTTGTTTAGTATCATTTCCTTAAAACCTTTGAGGTCATAGGCAACACAAAAGATTGAGAAATAGGCAAAGCATTTTGACCTGTCCGTTCATCCAGCGGAAGTCAGGATCATGGTCAGGTCCTGTTTTTCTCTTCCCAGCCGTGTTCGGCCAGCGTTTGGATGAGACTGTGGCCTATGAGCAGAAGTTTGGCCCCCACTTGGTGCCCATCCTGGTGGAGAAGTGTGCAGAGTTCATCCTTGAGCACGGCCTGAATGAAGAAGGCATCTTCCGACTGCCTGGGCAGGACAATCTAGTGAAGCAGCTCAGAGATGCTTTTGACGCTGGGGAGCGGCCCTCTTTTGACAGGTACGCTGTCCTCACCTTGCCCTCCCCTCTGCCTCAGGTGGGTGAGGGGACCTCTCTCTTCCACTTGAGCGCTGCGACTCACACAGACACTCCCAAGAGCCCTGGCTTGCAACAGAAAGAGCCTTTTGTTTTGCTCATAATTCAGAATCTAGGAGCACAGGTAGGAGAGTATGATAATCAAGTACCTGAGAGATGATGTGAACTAGAACATAAGCTTACTGGGCAGAGTCAAGAGATGTTTAGGATATAGGGGAAGGGGAAGTGCAGAGTAGGGGAGAAAGATGGGACCTAGCTCCAGGGCCACCCTTCGGGGCACATGAGGATCACGGAAGAGCTGAGCTGGCTGAACAATAGATTTGGTGCGGTGGAGAATGCGCCATGTCTAGAACCAAGGGCTCCGATGGTCTTCCTCAGCCTTCCTGAAGTGGCCCAAACCAGGACTTATTAGTTTGGGAGACCACTGTACTGTCCAATTCTGAACTTAGTTCTGAGCCCTTATGGAAGGAGTACATACTGACAGCTTGGCAACCTGGTGTTCTCAAGTCGAAGTTGCACAGCCCTGTTTGGGGCGTATGGGGTGTAGGGCATTTCTCCCCAACATTCCTTTCCCACCCCACCTCCTCCTGCCACCTAGTCAAAGTTTTCTTCTCTGCCATACTCAGCTAGTACACCCCCATCTCTGACATTGCACACTCGCTACCTATTATGCAATATTTGTCCTGGTGGCCTGTGTGTGCTTGTCCTGCTGGCAAGAAAGAGCCATTGTTCTTTCTAAATCAACAGCCCATTAACCAAGATTTAGTAAGAAGGTCCTGAATGCTATCCAGTTTCCAAGGATTGAAATAAGGTTATTTAAGACTGGGGCCCAGGGCTGATTCTGGGAAAATGGTGAATAGCTGAGTGTCATGCTCTGTTGACAGTCTCACTGCTCACCTCTTCCTCACCTATCACTCCAATCCCCAAAGTTGTCTATTCTCCCTCTGAAGAACTCTCTAAGACTCATCTGTTTCCATTCTCACAGCACTGTCTTAGTTTGGGCCACCCTTATGTGTCTTTGCTGACCTCGCATGTAATAGGTTAATTTACCAAGGGTGCTGTATTTTAACAGGAATTCAATGGGTGGAGTTGTTGTTGGAATTATAGCAGGTTATAGGCATCAAATTTAAGAAGGTTTCAGCAGCACCATAAATTGCATTTCATTATCAGGTACTTGTTCAATTAAGCTCGCCACCTTTATATTCAGTTTTCTTCTTATGTTTTTAATTAGCTTTGAGTTGATCAAAAGATACAGGTGGGTTGCTGCTAAAGCAATGCAAACAGTCAGCCAGGAAAAGGAGAGGTGATTTGTGGGTTTACCAAATACCTGCCCTAGGCTTGAGCTCATGCATCTGTAAAATCAGCTTGGCTGGCAGAGTCAGGGTCTTTGATTCCTCTGAAATATTTAGGGCTGGAAGGAAGAAAGTGATCACACATCTCCACTGCCAGAACCGAGGGATAGCATTTATACATCCATCATAAATACGGAGGGCTCTTCAGGCTCCTCCTAAGACTGAATCTTGGGTCCACATGACTCTCGTGGGGACTCATCTAGATCTTCTCAATTGGTATATTGCAGTTCCACCACAAGATCCCTCAAATTGCCTCACTAGAATGAAGAAAAACAAAGGAGCTCTAATCTGATAGATTCTAGTGCAGGTGTGTCTGGCTCCCATTGAACATATAAATGTGAATTTAAAAATCTCTTTGTCCAGTCTCTAATGGGCTGGATATCAACCAGCCACAAAGCCAATACATTTTCAATACCTATATTTCTGTGAGAAACACATAGACATTCTGCATTATAAAATGAATGCTTCAAGGGGAGGAGGGCAGAGCCATCTAAGGGGCCTTTGCTAATCTCTGATGGAGCAGGGCTTAAACTCAGAAGCCACCTGGCTCCTGACTTGCTCTTAGGCCTTGATTTTAAAATATCACTTAAGAATGTTTCACTGGATTGGAGGAACAAACAAATTGAGGGAAAATGCAGTAAATTTAGACTATAACAATGATATCTGAGTCAGCCCATTTCTAATGGGGCACAGACATTGAATGAAAAATTTACAAAAATAACTGTATAACTTCCATTATGTTAAGTGCTAAAAATTAAAAATAGATGGTACTATGAGAATTTAGAACAGGGGGCTTTTGACATGGTCTGGCGGACTTAAGGAGGTCCCCAAGAAAATGACATTTAACCTGAGACACAATAAACAAGAATGAGGAGTTAGCCTGGTAAAGCACCCTCATCTTCCTGGTGAAATGAATCAGCAGCTTTCTCTGGCTTTCAGTGTTCTAAGATGAATATATAGCTAATTGTGTTTTTGATTATAACTTTAAAATATCTATACTGTATCTGTAGTTATGAACCCTTTCTGTTCTAAGGTTGGATATTTTTGCTTAGTTTCTCTTGATTAAACTACCTATTAGTTTGTCTCTCTTATTATTGTTTCTCGTCAAAATATTCTGTTTTTTGATGTATCATCTATGTTGTTTTTCTCATTTTAAATTCTTTGTTTTCTACGTTCATTTTCTTGGTGGGCTTTGAGTGTTGGAGTTGTGCAGGCCAGGGACAGTGCATCAAAGAATAGAACCCTGCGGGCAGGAGGCCAGGTAGGAGGCTGGGCAGAATCTTGCAAAAGACGATGTCCTTCTGAAATCTGGAAAGGAAAGTCAGGGAGAGGTTTAGAGGGATTCTTATGACATCTGGATAGTAGAATTGAAGAGCTCGGGCAGACCTATTGCAAGTAGGGTGAGGGAGAGGCCCCAGTCAGACAGGAGACCCTGGATTCTGATTAAGACCATGTGCGGACTGTGATGCAGGGACATCAGGAGAGTGCCACTCCTGCAAGGTGTCTGCTGGTTGTCTTTCTGACATTTTCTTGGGAACTTCTCATGTATTTGACAAGGCTTTGCCTGGTGTATTTTTAGACGGTGACTCAGCAGGGAAGGCTTTTCCAGAATCCCCACCCCCGATTTCCTGAGGGCAGCAGTGGAACACAGACAGGGCTCTGTGCCAGCTCAGAATTCTCCTGTAGAGGTACAGAGTTCACAGGCTACAACGGGGGAGCCGTTTAGAAGACAGCACCAACCACTGGCTGTCAAAAACAAACAAAACATTTACACAAAATGCCAAGACAGCTTTACAGTCAAGTTCTGGTGTACTTGTTTCTGCTACCTCAGACACCTTCCTTCTCCTCCTGTCCAATCTAGCCCTCCTGCCCGTTCTCCAGGAAGTATCTCCACCCAGCAGATTCTATATTTCACATCACTGAAACCAGGGAGATACTCAGATTATCTGAACCTCTTACTACATCATGACTTTTGAAATACTACGAGGACCATCCCTGAAGAATACCAGTTTTTCTTGATGTATAATAAATCAATACTTCTTCACTAATGATCTTCAATTATATGATAGATTCAGATTTGTTTTCTCTGCAAAATAGATTCGATAGTTCTATAAAGGAGGGGTCAGCAGACGTTTTAAAAGGGCTACCTATGAAATATTTAGGTTTTATGAGCCAAACAGTTTCTGCTGTAGCTACTCAACTCTGCTCTTAAAGCAAAACATCAGCCAAACACTACGCGAAAACGAACAAATGTAGTTGTATTCCTGTAACACTTTATTTATGTGTGCTGAAATTTGAATTTCATGTAATTTTCACGTCATGAAATATTCTCTTTTTGAGTTATTTTCCCAACTACTTAAAAAATGTAAAATCCATTCTTAGCTCATAGGCTGTACAAATATAGGCAGTGGGCCAGATTTGGGTCCTGGGCCACGGCTTGTCAACTCCTGCTGTAAACCAGAGAAGCTGAGCTGAAGACCCCTGTCTCTTTCAGCTAATCAGGCAATCAATCATATGAACGTTGTCTGAGTTCTTTCAGCAGAGCTTCCTCTCCCCACGCTCCAGGCTGATACACATGCTGCCCGCCACATGTTCTAACTCCTCAGAAGAGTCTCTATGGCTCTTCCACTCTGCATTGAGTGTCCTTTTTCCACATTTCCATATGCTCCCAGGTCCTGGACTTCCGCTCTCATGGCACTAACCATACAGTATTACAATGACTTGGTTTCTGAAGCTCTGTGGCTCTAGGAAGTCAGGTATTCTGTGTGTCCTTCAGGTTCAGCACTGAAATCACACTACCTGATATAGTATCTTGCATCTAGTAGGTTTTCTCAGTGCTTATTGATTGAATGAATGATTGCATGGATATATGTGTGACTCTCAGAACTATTTTTAGGTTCTGAGGGATCAAAGAGATCAATGGACCACGGAGGTAAAGGAGTTATCACGTGAAAATGAGACACTAAGGACAGAATACTAAATTGTGAGGTGCTAAGTGACTTGGAGAAAGAAGAAAACAATGAAAACTAAACGGTTGGAGGTTTAATGAGAAAGCAGATCATCAACTTTTCTTTGAGACGGTTAGGTGGAAGAGATAAAGAAAGAAAGTTATTATTCCAGAAGGGAGAATTAGCAAAAATGTTTTAGTCGGTTACACCTTTATCAGACTCTACTCCTCTGTAAAACTCCCCTTTGAAACCTGAGATTATATTCAGTAGATCACCAACGGGGAGGTAAGGAGAATTCTGGAATTTTGCTTCCAAAAAGCATTGCTTATTTTCTTCCAGAGATACAGATGTGCACACAGTGGCCTCCCTGTTAAAGCTCTACCTCCGAGACCTCCCAGAGCCCGTGATTCCCTGGAGCCAGTATGAGGGGTTTTTACTCTGCGGACAGCTCATGAATGCAGATGAAGCAAAGGTTGGTATCTTATTAGAGTTAGTTGTCCTGCTTTGGAAGAAAGTGATGGTTACTGAATACTATTCTGTATTCACAAGCAACAGTGAGTCAGGAGGCCCATACCTTTTGGTGAGATATTTGTCAAACTGGAACTTCCTTGGCAACAAAAGGCAAATGAAGCCAATTATGGTGATGGCCTTCATGGGCTATAACAATCCAATAAAGAATTGGGCCATAATCAAATACCCCCCAAGTCACTTAAAAATTAGTAAGAGAAGGAGGATGCCTCTGAGAAGGGTTTCAAGCAATGTGGCCTTGTTGAGATCCACTGGGACATGAGACACAGGTCAGACTGACCAAACTGAAAGGCAGGTTAGAGGTCAGAATGTAATAGCTCCATGATGACCATGAGTATCAGACACGGACATATAAAGAATGCGTGTGCCAGAGAAAAAAGGCAGGGAGCTTTTCTTTGTAGGGTCTGTCGCTCTTTGTCCTTCCTCCCTCTGGCACATGCATTCTTTATATGACTGTCTCTGACATTCATGGTCATTATGAAGCTAAAACATTCTGACCTCTCACCGGCCCTCCAGATTGGTCAGCCTGCTCTTATGTCCCAGCGGGTCTCAGCAAGGCCATATTGCTGAAACCCTTCTCAGAAGCATCCTCCATCTCCAGCTACTTTTAAAGTGACTTGCAAAGGGTATTTTGTTATAGTCCAATCTTTACTGGAATGTTACATTTAAACATTTATTAAGCAAATAATTATTGTGAGGATGAGTTGTCAAATAGTCCTTGCCTCAGGGTATCCCCGAGTTGGGTAAGAGGGCATAATAACAGGCAAACTAAAATACACCGCACAAAAAACAATGAGCGTCCCATACATTTTTGCAAAGATCTTGTGAATTTATTGCTTTTCAAAATAAAAAATTATTAAAAAACACACAAAAAACTTTGGGAACAAGAGTGACTGCCAAAGTGTTGCTTCTGCACAGACATACCACTTATATTCCAGGGTCTCGTTACTAGCAAGTAAGCAAGTTCATTTTACTAGAGTTAAAAATCTCTTTCCAGGCTCAGCAGGAGTTGATGAAGCAGCTCTCCATCCTTCCTCAAGACAACTACAGCCTCTTGAGCTACATTTGCAGGTGAGAGTCCTTGGTATTAGCTCCACAGTTTTCAGCCACATGAGAAAGAAGCCCCTGGTTAGAGGAGGAAAGGGTATCCTATGAACTTGGAGATTCTGGTCCAGACCTTTGGAAGGTCAACTCTATTTACATAGCTCCAAGGTAGTTTCCTATATCCACAAGCTAATTTGAAGGATCTCCTGAAAATTTTGTTGGCACACAAAATGTACATGCTTCTTCCTCAGGCCTTCCTAGCACTGCCCAGAGTCCTGGGACATGCAGTGGAACACAGAATCCTTACAATGTTTCTAAAATTATCTTCTGTCTTCTTGACTCTGGGCTATAAGCTAGCACCCCAGAGACATTTATTCCAGGCCATTCTTTCTATTTCCCTTTTTGAGGACCTGCTGTGTGTCATCTTTGTGGAAATACATAGCATGTGGATTGACCCAAATGTGGGTGAGTTGGGAACCTGCATCTCCATGTCAAATAGAGATGA